GGACTGGAGGCCACGCTGGGTTTGGATGGAGACATCCTGAGCTGTGATCTTCTGTGTCCACGCGGCGTGACCGTGGAAACGTCACAGCCTGCTCTGGTCTTCCGAGCCTTCTCGGTGGGATGGAAATCACGAGGGAGTCCTATCTCCCGGGTCTGCTGTGAGGATAAAGGCTGGCTGCCATGACAGAGAAAGCACTGGCAATCATCGACCCTCCACCTCACCAGACCTCAAGGCTCAGGTCTGAACGTGAGAGAGGTGGGCTGGATGTTTCCAGGGCTGCTGCTGCTTAACGGTTCCCCGCCTCTGTGGTCCAAGCCGCTTCATGTGTCGCCTCTGTGGGGGCCTGCCTACCAGGCGCTGGGGGGTACCAGCTTTAGGAATGAAAATGCAGGTTCCTGCCCTCTCTCCCTTCTTCTCATCAACACCTCTCCGCGTCGCCTCCCGCCCCCCAACTCCATCAGAACGAACTGGAGTCCCATCCAGCAGAAAGATGCTGAATTGGACGTATTGAAGTTCAGCTTTGGCTGAAAAGGCAAGATGCTTTGGATCTCCAGGGACAGAGAAAATCACCTGAAAATTTGGTGCTCACTGCCGCCGATGTACTGCCCTGTGGTGGGGGCTGTGTCAGCCTTCCGTCAGACCCGCCCTCCCCGCCCCCTGCCGAAGCTGGTCCATTACACTGCCCCTGCATTGCAAGGGTTGAGGCGGGCTGTCACCTGCCAGCCTGGGAAATGGTATTTATAGATTGCGGCCCCGCCTACCCCTGGTCCCCAGCCTCTCCCTGAGCGCTTGTCCTGAGCTCCAATTATCTGTGAATGGAGGAGAGGGATGACTGGCAAGTCCAGGGGAAGCCGGGAATGTGATAATAGGCCCTTCACACGTTCAAAGTTTCAGTATTTTCCCATTATTTCCATTTACGTCTCTTCTTACGGCCTGCTTCCTTCTTCAGGCTGGCTATAATTTTACACTGTGGTTCGTCGGCAAGTGAGCCCATGCTGGAGTCAGAGAGCTTGGTCTGGAAGGTGGACTAAGTCTGTGATGTCAGACACGCCCGCCTGCTTCTCGGGACTTTGCTCTCTGTGCCGTCCATGGGTATCGACGCTGCTCTGGGAGAACTCCAGCACAGAGCGTGGGGTACAGTCAGCGCTTGGCGGTTGGGCCGCTCACTGACTCCCCGGGCTGGTTTCAAGCGTGCCTGCCATCAGGCATGGCAGGGTTTCTGAGTGTCTGATCTGATCGCTACCCAGAGCAGTAGCTAGAGGTGGAGAAGGTGCAAGAGATTGCTCTGATGGCGGCGTAGTCCTCATTGTGAGAAGTTCCTCATGCTAAAAGGACGGGTGCAAAAAACTGGGATGAGCTTGTTTTTTCTGGTTTTGCTCATCTCTTCAAAAGGAAGGACTGGAATCAAGGGAAAGTTCACTGACACTGGGAATTGGGACTTAACTAACATTTCTACCCTGCCTGACCACTCTCTCTGCCCCCATCAGAAAAGGATTGTTTGCCTGCAGATGGCGCATCAGGGGTCTACATTCCCTGATTCCGGGGGTTACAGCACTGCAAGGCTCGGCTGACTTGCTTCATTCACATGCCTCCCACTCTTATTACCAGGCTTCCCTGGTGGCTCAGAGGGTGAAGAATCTGCCTGCAATGCAGGAGACCCAGGTTCGATCCCTGGGTGGGGAAGATCCCCTGGAGAAGGGAATGGCAACCCGCTCCAGTGCTCTTGCCTGGAGAATTCCACGGACAGAGGAGCCTGGCGGGCTGCAGTCCACAGCGTCGCAAAGAACTGGACGTGACTGAGCCACTGACGCCCTGACTGCCTTCACTCATCACTCCCCGCTCTCCCGCCCCCTCCTCCTTCACTCTGGGTCGGCCCCAGTTCCCGCGCCTCCTCCAGCACCACCGAGGCCTCCGGGGCCCCACCTCTCTCCTCTCTCCTCTCTTCCTTCAGCCCGGCGCTCCCCGTCCCCTCCCGGCGCCCGCCTCCTTCTCGGGCCTCCTCTGGACACTTAATGCCTCCTTTGATCCGGCCCACAGCCTCACGATTATGCAGGTGCCAGGCAGCTCTCGGCTGCGCCTCAGAGGGCCTCTGTCCCCGGCGCCTCCCGCGCGACAGGGCTGGAATCCCAATCGGCCCCTCGGCCCTGCGCCGGTGGCGGCCTCCCCGGGCGCCTCCGTCTGCCCCCTCCCTCCGGCCCCCAGGGTGCTGAGAGCCCGGCCACAAGGAGGCATTGATTGGGGAGCGGGAGGGGGCGGCCCTGACAAAGGGCCGCAGTGATGAGACACGAGAAAGGGGGCGCTCTCCGGGCTTATAGAATGCCTTGCAGATGGGAGCAGAGGAGTTCTCAATGGGGCACTGTCCTGCCGCCTGGAGAGGCAGTGACGGGCCAAGTGTGGGCGCCTTGAAAGGGGCGTTTTGAAATGACGCTCTGGTCAGATGGAACCACGCAATCGGAGACGTGTGGCGGGCCCCTGCGGCTCACAGCACTCCGGTGACTCAGAGCCCACGTTCAGCCGATGCTCTGGCTCCGGAGGGGGCAGCCGCGCGGCTCATTATGATTCCGGCTCCGTTTGCTGAAGGCTGGGCCCTCTGCTGTTCTGCAGGCTGTAATAGGATTGGTCCACGCGAAGCAGAGACCGCTGAGGCCTGGAGCTGTGTGGGTGGAAGGGATTGAAAACTAATACTGCAGCTTGGGAGACAGAAGCAGAGTTTGTTGTTGTTGTTTAATGAAAAGTAAGAAAAAATATTAATCTTGGTCTGTTCATTCCCTCACTGTTCGTCCGCTCGCTCATTCAGCACACATTTCTGGGCTCCGTGCTCAGAGAAGGAGGGCTCCGCTCTCTCAAGCCTTAGAGCCCGGAGGGGAACCGAGGAAAAACCGGGGCTGCAGCAGCGCGCCCTCAGGGTCGTGGGGACGTTGCATTGCCAAAGCCAGGATCATTCCCTGGACTTAAGGCAGAGCCCTTTCAAGGGGCGCTCTAATTATGCCTCCGTTTCCTCTCAGCTGATAAGCTCGCAGCATTCTGGGAAGCCCTTTCAACAGTATCCATTTCCAAATGTCCCAGGAACCAAATGGTTTCCCTCCGCCCCAGAGAGATAGGGAGATCCTGAAAGCGTCTCGGTAGCTTCAAAGGAAGAGCTTATTCTCTGGGATAAGAATACTCATTATTACCTTCTTAATAATTGGTCTATGCCCGGCTCTGTGCTAAATGCTTTAAAGACATCATCGCATTCAGTCCTCTCCCTCGCCGCCTAAGATAGGCTTTATTATTCTCCTTTTGCATATGGACACTGCGTCTCAGAGACATGAAGTGACTTGTTCCTGGTTACGGAGCGGAGCCTCGAACTAACTTCTGCCTGGGCCAGCACACGTGCCTTTCAGGATTAGGCTGTGCTGCTTGCCTCCTGGTTCTTGGGCTTGGCGATTGTGGCTGGGCAGAGGAAATGAGAGAACAGCGGGATTGCTACCACGTCCTACCAGAGATGCAGTACAATGCAGAAGGGCTTCTGTCTCCAGTTTTCTAGACTGGGGACTCCCTGGAAGTCCAGCGGATAAGACTCCAGGCTCCCAGTGCAGGGGGCATGGGTTTGATCCCTGGTTGGGGAGCTAAGATCCCGCAGGCCGCACAGCGTAGCCTAAAATTAAAAAAATAAAATAAAAAATTGGGGATCGGGAACCACTGCCGCCATCGTCATCCTCACCATCAGTAATACTGCGGCACTCGACAGCCATAAGAAATGCTTCCTGGGCTCTTGTTTGAAAAAAAAAGCCTTGGCTTCGAGACAGGAGGTTCCTCTGCCCACTCGCTGTATCATTCGCCTCTCTTGCCATGTCTAGAAAATGGAGCTGAGAGTCCCTTGGCAGGAGTAACAAGAACCTAACTTTTATGGAGCCACTAATGCCTACCGAGTTAGGGGCTAAGACTTCACGTAAAAATTCATGCCGTCCTTGCCACAGACCAGTGTGGGAGGAGTGACTAGGGAGGTGGGGGAAGCCGCCAGCATTCCCTGGACTCGGGAGAGGAGGAGCTGGGACTCAAAGCAATCTCAGACTGACCTCAAGTTGCAAGCTATTTTGGGGCTGTTGTTGTGAAGCTCAAGTGAGAAATGGGAGGGTAAAAAGTGCTAGACACATGTAAGGAATTATTCTTAGTGTGGAAGACGGCCAAGAGGGGACTTGCACAGAAATGAGGAAAGATGAGAGGCCGCTAAGCTGACTGGCTTACATCTTTTTTTTTTAACTTATTTTTCTGTTGCTTCTTATCTGATTGAGTATCTGTCTTCATTGGAATGTTCCAGAGGCTGGAATCTGGGGACAGGCTTGGGTTCGTTTATAAAGTGTTGAGGGGCTGTGGGGAGGGGGACCTAGACATCCGTACTATGATGGAAATTTCACTGAACTGAAATTTTAGAGAAAAATGGGGAAATAGCATTTTTCTTATACGTTTTGAAACTGCAGTGTTAGGATCACGTGAGATCATCAGTATGGAAGCACCGCCATGATCTCCAGAGTAATATAAGATAGAATTCGTTTTTGCTGAAGTTTTTGGATGTTATGGGAGGAATGGGAGGAATCTGTGAAGAGGGTTGAAACATCAGGTGTGGGTTAAAAGAAATAGCCCCTCAATTCTTTACTCCCGACTTTCTACAAGCTGCTGTCACTCAGCAGGTTTTTTGAGTTTATACACTTTAATTTTCTGAATCAAACATCTTTGAGATGAATGAATAATAGATGTAGAAAGCTGTGGACCTCAAAGAACTCTTTTCCTCCATCCCCTTCCTTTTTACACATGAGGACACTGAACGTTAAAAGGGTGAAGCACAAGGTCATATAGCTGGTCTGCGACATTACCCAGGGCTACACTGTCATTCCTAGAAATGACATTCAGTGCCCTTCCTACGATAACTGCCCCACCCTGCCCCACTTTGCAGGAGCAGCTGGAGAACCACAAGCCCACCCATGATGGCTAATGTTCTCCATCTCCCCTCTGTCCCCCAGGACAATTCAGCAGTGGCTTGCGAGGGTCCAGTCGCTTCTCTACTGCAATGAGAACGGGTTCTGGGGCACCTTCCTGGAGAGCCAGAGGAGCTGCGTCTGCCATGGCAGCACCACGCTGTGCCAGCGCCCCATCCCCTGCATCATTGGCGGGAACAACAGCTGCGCCATGTGCAGCCTGGCCAACATCTCGCTCTGCGGCTCCTGCAACAAGGGCTACAAGCTGTACCGAGGCCGCTGCGAACCGCAGAACGTGGACTCGGAGCGCAGCGAGCAGTTCATCAGCTTCGAGACCGACCTGGACTTCCAGGACCTCGAGCTCAAGTACCTGCTGCAGAAGATGGACTCGCGCCTGTATGTCCACACCACCTTCATCAGCAACGAGATCCGCCTCGACACCTTCTTCGACCCCCGGTGGCGCAAGCGCCTGTCCCTCACTCTCAAGAGCAACAAGAACCGCATGGACTTCATCCACATGGTGATCGGCATGTCCATGCGCATCTGCCAGATGCGCAACAGCAGCCTGGACCCCATGTTCTTCGTCTACGTCAACCCGTTCAGCGGGAGCCACTCGGAGGGCTGGAACATGCCCTTCGGCGAGTTCGGCTACCCGCGCTGGGAGAAGATCCGCCTCCAAAACAGCCAGTGCTACAACTGGACTCTGCTGCTGGGCAACCGGTGGAAAACGTTTTTCGAGACGGTCCACATCTACCTACGCAGTCGGACTCGGCTCCCGACCCTCTTGCGCAATGAGACTGGCCAGGGCCCGGTGGACCTGTCCGACCCCTCCAAGAGGCAGTTCTACATCAAGATCTCGGATGTGCAGGTGTTCGGGTACAGCCTGAGGTTCAACGCCGACCTTCTGCGCAGCGCCGTGCAGCAGGTCAACCAGTCCTACACGCAGGGCGGCCAGTTCTACTCCTCCTCGTCCGTCATGCTCCTCCTGTTGGACATTCGGGACCGAATCAATCGCCTGGCCCCCCCTGTAGCCCCGGGGAAACCCCAGCTGGACTTGTTCTCCTGTATGCTGAAACACCGCCTGAAACTGACCAACAGCGAGATCATCAGGGTGAACCACGCCCTGGACCTCTACAACACCGAGATCCTCAAACAGTCGGATCAGATGACAGCCAAGCTCTGCTAACGCGGGCTCCTGGCCGCGGGCGTTCCCTTTTTGTTCTACAAAGCGAACAAAACCAAGCGAAGCAAAACAAACGCACATTTGTAAAGTGTAATTACTATTCAAAGGAAAGGAGGAAAAGTCTTCATTTGTTGGAAACGAAAAAACGTTCTAGCAACTGTATAAAACCGTGGGGCATGTTTGTTATTTCTATACTCTGTCGTGAGGAAGGGTCTCAGTCTGGGGAAGCTCGGAGGGAGGTGCTACTTAGGCCTCAGGTGCTGTATTGAGTGGGGGGGATGGGAGAGAGCATATGCAACGAATTGTAAAGATCTCTGCTATGCAGGTGCTAAGATTAAACAGGAAACAGAAAGCTATATGTAATGTACAACCCACACTGCCATTTTTCCTCGTGGGAGGAAATGGACATAGATAAAGAAGATATTTCTTCGGTTATGATTTCTTCCCTCTTTATGCTGAATTCCTTGTGGTTTTTTTTTTTTTTTTGACTCCTCCGCACATGAGGGTGGAGATTCCCTGACAGCACTGTCTCGGCAGATAGCTTCTCTCACACTGAATAAACTGAAACTCACTGAAGCCGGACAATAGGTGGGGCCCTGGGGGAGAGGCATTCACATAACCACAGGGTGTTAAAACCGTTAAGAAACCTTTGATAACAGCCTGTTGACCTCCTTGATTGAGTCTGGGAACTAGCCTCAGAGAGAAATGGCTAGCCCAAGGCTACACCTGGTTACTGGCCCAAGAGTGAGGTGAACCAGCCTTCTGACCCCGTCCGCTGCACTCCTTCTAACATCAGGCTGGCCACGGTGGTGTTTGCCCCTCCAACTGAGCTGCCAAGGGATGAAGTAGTTTTCAGTCTCAGGTTGTTTTGATAGCCCTTTTTTTCTTTTAATGAAGAAAGCCATTTCAACTACTGTCTCCAAAAAGAAATGGTGTCAGAGTCCCTGGAAGCACTCTGCATATTTTAGTTTGATTTAAAGTCAATACCCGAAATAAAATGGGGTGGGTTTTAAAATTGCATTGGTCTGCCAGGCCTTCCCCAAGTAGGTATCTAAAACATGATCCTTTAACTCAGAATACACACACACACACACACACACACACACACACAAATACATTAACGCTGCCACTTCTTGGGCATCTCTGAAAACTGAGAGGCCTTATCTGGGACTTGGGGTATAAATTGAAAGGAGAGTTGCAAGGAAGAAAACTCGTTTCAAAGTACATCTGTAGAGGATTGGGGTAGAAAGCATGTCTTAGCCTTCAGGAACCCTGCATTTATCTTCTTGCTGTGGTGGTACTTGCCAGAGATGCTTTGAGCATCTGAGTCTTCATTTCCAAATTGGCAGAGAAACAGGATCACACAGGTCAGGGTTGGGAGAGAAAATAGGACTCCTTTGGTCTCGGTGTCTGCCCAGTGCAAATCTTTGGGACATCACCCCTGTTTGCTAACTGGCTCATTCCTGGGACAGGAAACCCATGTAGTTCTGTTTTTCATGTTCCTTGGATTCCTCTTTTACTGAAGGGGCTCAGTAGTGCTCATGCCAGCTTATGTTATTAAGCAGGTCTAATTATTAGATGGTTCTTCCGCACATTTACCAGCATCTGTGTACCTTCCACTCACTGGTCCCAGTTCTAGAATGTACATTTCTCATGTCAGTGCTATCATCGATAAAATACAGAAACCATCTCAGGGCTCACCAGAGTCTGTAACAGTTTGACTCAAAGAAAACACAACCCCCACCCCCACCTGTATAGTTTAAGATAAAAGGAGGAGGCTTCAGTGCATACAACACATAAGAACTATCTAGTTTAAGTATGTGTATGAAGGGGGGAAGTTATATCCTTTTTTAACCCATAGTGAAATTCCAAATTTAATGTTCCAGTTTTTAGTATGAATTAGCATGTATTTTGATACCAGTTTAACAATGTGTGCTTCACACCATCATAGCTGTTTGGACCTCAGATTTTGAGCAAATTCAGTATTCATTTAGGTTGGAAATTATTCATGCAAAAGTCACTTAGCAGCTATTCATCAAGCAGAAGGTTTTATAGCAGTTCAGTAAATCATCAAACATCTCAACAACCCACACCCTCTGCACATGGAGTCGTAACCACTGGACCACAGGGAAGTCCCTCTTCAACACCTGGGAGATGAATGGGGCATGCCAGGGAAATGAGATCTGTAAGGAAATGGGTTACGCTTTTTGTGCCCCTCATACATTAATGAGAAAGACATATGAACCAATAAAAAATAAATACTTACAGTACACCATGATGACTGCTGCTGTGGGGTCAGACACGCAGAGAGGAATCCTGGAGAAGTTATGAACTCTGTTCATGCAGTTGGTACAGCCTTTAGATGGACACGTTAATTCTGAGTGTTGAAAATGAAAAGGATTTGGGCAAATGACAAGAAGGCTCTTCCCCAGACTTCACCAACCATGTGTGTGTGTGTGTATGTGTGTGTGTGTGTGTGTGTGTGTGTGTGTGTGTGTCTGTGTGTGTGTGTGAGGAAGTTTTCTTCTCTTTACCTTGACAGTATTACTGAATAATTACATCATATCATATTACAAAGAGAATAAACAATGTCTAATGATTGGAAAGGGCAGGGAAATCAGAAACATTTTCAAGGACAGAGAGATTCAGACATCAAAATATTTGTTCAAAGGTGAAAGGAAAATATTTTATAAAAGGACACAAAGTTCTGGGGATTTCCAGGCACCTTCTGCTTGGGTCCAACTCTTTGAGCTAACAAGGTTCCCTCCAGCTATTGGGGAAGAGAAGCCTGAAGCCTTCAAGTGAGATTTTAATTCAATTAGCATCTAACCAGTTTGATGCAACAACCAAGGACCTATGCTGTCTGATTAATATGCTGATGCTAAGGCAAAAGAGTGAACAGAATGCCCCGTTGGATAAGCCTGGCAGCAAAGCATGGCAGTGCCATGGAAACCACAGAAGGCCATTAATTAGCTATCAGATAAAATCATTGGAAAATTCTGGACCCTGGCATATCTGCCCCCTTCAAAGAGGCAGGCAACAAGGGGTCATGCGAACAGCAAGGCTCCCTTCATTGATTGAAATCATAATTGTTCAGAGACTGCACGTCACAAAGTGGAAGAAAGATCAGGAAGTAGAACAAGTTGACACAATAGGAGGAAAGAGGCTCTGGGATTATCCGTCTGCACAAATATATTTTTTAATGTGGTGGACTTTGTTGGGTTGTCTATGATGATAAAATTATCTCAATGACAAGCACTTTCTCCTATTCCCCATTCTTTTTGGAAAGAAAGTGAGAAGAATAACATGGATCCACTAGATGGTGATAAATGATTGAGGGAAGCTAAAGTGTGAGAAACGATGAACCCCTAAAATAATAGATGAAGATTGTAGAACTTTCAAGTTAATAGGGAGACATCCTTTCAAGTTAAAAAGAAGGCAGACAGGAGAAAGAGAAGAGTCATTAAAATATTAATAGCTAGACACATAGACATAATAACAAAACATACTACACAAATAATCACAATAAATGTACTTGGACAAAACTCCTCAGTAAAAAGAGGTGGTCAGACTACAAGTTACAAATTGTAAAAGTAATGGTAAAAAAGTGTGAAAATAAAAAGATGCATAAAGGTATCCTATATAAATATTAAGTAAGAGAAAGCTGACGTAGTACCATTAATAGCATTCAACATAGACTTTAAGACGAACACAATAGGATTAAAGATGGTCAACAGCAGGGTGGAGAGAAGTGTGGACACATGGAACTATGGACTTTTTGGGCTAAAGCGGTCATTAAAGGTCTGTAAAATTTCAACCTTCAGAGATGAAGTTACACTCAAAGTTATTCTACAAAATGTGCACACCGATCATGATCATAGTTCCCTTTTCACTATCTCATGGTAAAAGATTATCCAGTCCAATTCTCCTAGCCAAGACAAAGAGCAACCCTTTTCATGATATTGAAAAGAATCAACTGTAATAATAGGAAACTGAACTTCACATGCAAATATTCTCTCTCTTCTATGTCACCAAAATCATCTCTAATGGGCATTTTTCCAGTTGAAGATCAATGCAAATCTTTGGTTGGTTATAATGAGTTCAGACTGGGCAGTGCGCCCTCTCTGCCTAAGAACAGGGTAATACCAGTGGCTCCAGCTGCACCAAGCCAAGAACCTAGACAGAAGGTGTTACCTAAATGAACTCTACTTTCTCAGTATTCCCGTCTCTTTAAATCACGATCAGAGCCTGAAATGACAGGTGTAAGGCCGTTCCTCACTTCAGTGTTGCATCTAACAGTAAGCATTCTGCACGAGGCAGGCAGTACAGTCTCTGACTGCTTGGGTTTGGAACCCTCTTTCCTCTCAACAACACACAGATCAAGATGGATTCGGGGAATGGAATGGGACCGTCTTGATCCCATGGGGAGAAAATCACCTCAAAAGTCACGGTCACTCTGAAGGGAATTACAGATCTTTTTGAGAAATGCAAAAGCTCTGGACTCTTTCCAAATAAAAATGTAAAATGTACCTTCACATACACTTTTGAATATTTCACAGATCCCTTAATAATCTTTCTTGAACATTCTAAAATACCACAAACCTTCAGTAAGTGCCTCTAATCTAGTCTCAACCCTGTATTTCATGAAATTTAAAACGTCACCTTTTAGCGATGAGGAGTTGTACCCAAAGTCATCCTGAAAGTCTTGAGCACTGAGCATGGGTTTATCTCCTTTCCCTGTCTCAAGCGTATTTTGGCCTAGGATCCTGTATCAAGCTAATGTAGTTCATACAGCTGCACCCTGCCCTCAGGGAAGGCAGTGTTTAACATACAGGTAAACACCTTAATGGAAATGACAGTTACAGTCACATTAATGAAACCCAACATATATACCATGGACTGTATAGACCATGGATATCCCCAGGCCAGAATACTGGAGGGGGTAGCCTTTCCTTTCTCCAGGGCATCTTCCCAACCCAGGGATCAAACCCAGGTCTCCTGCA